ACTACTACTACTACGACGACGACTACTACTCGTACTAAGATTACCACCAAATTGCTGTCCACACGCGTCAGGACGGGAGTGTGTGCGGCCACTTTGTTCCAGGCGGGTCTGCAATCCTCCAAGAATTGCCCAGAAGGTCTTCAGTTAAGAAAAGAAGCTTTGACATGTCGCTTGACGGGCCAGCGCGGGGCACAGCAACACGCATCCGGCCGCGCGCCGGGCCACACAAACACGCAACTGGCCACTCGAACACCCAACCCAAACACCCAATGGGCCACGCAAACACGCAGTCGTCCCTGCGGGGGGTCGTCCTTGAGTGAGCCTGGGGGGGGGGGCCTGCGGGGGGGCCTGGGAGGAGGCCGAGGGGGGGGTTCATCGTCATCCGCAAATCCCCTGGTCTGACCCTTCTGGCCGAAAATATCGCGCACGGTTGCAGATATTCAGAGGTCCTACGTAAAAACATTGGCAAAAATGAAAAGATTCATGAAGTCAGAGTCTGGGCCACCTGCGATAGAACGATCGCGGTGCGGATAGGCGACAGGAACTACATGCATGGGTTCCTGTCCAAATGGAAATTCAACAACACAGACGGAAACTCTCTGTCCTCATGGTAATCGTATGTCTTCTTTTCTTCCAATGTCGTGTCATTTTTCCATGCGAACGGCAACCACAGAGGATGGATGGTGTTAATGACGGTTTTGCGGTCTTCTTCACCCATGCACCAGAAACGCTCGAGAAGGGAAAGTTTGTCTTTGTTGTGTATCGAACTGGTCAAATCCTTTACCCGGTAGCTTCCTTCTGACACCGTGTACAATTGGTAGACAATGTGTTCGAAAGCCCTGCCTGCAGTTTCCATAGCCTCGCCATGGCCAGCTCCCATGCTCCCTGATACGCTCGTTGCCGAAATGTCCCTCTGGATAGAGGATGTGGGGAACTGCATGTGTGGAATCATGCTCGTCAACACGTCGCAGTGTTGACATGACGACGACTTTCGCTGCGATCTCGTGAGAGAAGAATCTGCGGTCTTCAGGTAATTCGCCCAGCTCTGGAACATGCGCTGGGCTGTCGCAATGTGCACAAAAGGCAACTCGTTCCACCAGGTGTACACCTGGAAATTATTGGTCGCTTGTGCAAGTCTTTGCATGGCACCTGGCAATCCTAACGCCTGCGCTGCGCGTTCCATAATCGGGCCATCGCGGTTAAAAACGCCTGTCGTGTCCCCATACCACACTCCTGCGGAGTGCCTTTTGCGCAGTTTCTCCAATAACGTTCAAAAACCCTTGCACGAATTGAGCCGGATTTCTGCGTCAAACATCAACGCAAATTCGTATCCGTCCATGTTGCTGAGCACTTGAGCCAAGCCCTCAAACTTTTTCCAAGCTCCAGGCTTGGCCCCTTTCGGGAGACGCTGCGCAATCAGAGGAGTGAAAACATGGCCCGCCACCGTGCCCCGTGGCACGCTGGGGCGTGCCAGAACACCAAATGCTGCCTGCTCGTGCCCTGCAGCTCTAACCCCCCTTCTCCCCGCACGGGGTCCACAAGATTTCGGGCCCCCCCTTCCGCTGCCGAAGTACGGGCTCGCCTCTCCGAGGTCACGATCCCTCGCAAAAAAAACGAGCTCGCGCGGTCACGATCGCTCCAACAAAATTAGCCTGGCGAAGGACCCAACCGTATGCAGCTGCGAGTACCGCACGGATATGAGACGAAGGAGGGGGCACGCAAACTAGGCCCCTCTTCTCATAGGCACCGCGCCACTGGGGCCTTCGGTGGAGCTCCCTATGGGGCCACGAAGCGTGTGAAGGGTGTGCCGAAATGGGTGGTGGGGACGCATGCGGACCCTGCCACTGGGGTTTTCGGTGGAGCTCCCTATGGGGCCACGAAACGTGTGAGGGGTGTGCCGAAATGGGTGGTGGGGAGGCATGCGAACGCAGCCACTGGGGCCTTCGGTGGAGCTCCCTATGGGGCCACGAAACGTGTGAGGGGTGTGCCAAAGTGGGGTGGGGGCGGCATGCGAACCCTGCCACTGGGGCCTTCGGTGGAGCTCCTTATGAGGCCACGAAACGTGTGAGGGGTGTGCCAAAGTGAGATGGGGGCGGCATGCGAACCCTGCCACTGGGGCCTTCGGTGGAGCTACCTATGGGGCCACGAAACGCGTGAGGGGCCTTCTGCAGTGAGGGGGGGCGCATAGTGCGAACCCTGCCACTGGGCTTCGGTGGAGCTCAAACCTACTGGGACACGAAATGCGTGGGGGTGTGCCAAAGGGGGTGGGGCGGCTGCGAACCCTGCCACTGCGGCCGTCGGTGGAGACTCCCTGTGGGGCCACGAAACGTGTGAGGGTGTGTGCCAAAGGGGGGGGGGCGGCATGCGAAACCCTGCCATAGGGCCTTAGGGTGGCGCTACTAGGGGCCACGAAAAAGTTGAGGGGCTCTGTGCCAAAGTGGGGTGGGGGCGGCATGCGAACCCTGCCACTGGGGCCTTCGGTGGAGCTACCTATGGGGCCACGAAACGTGTGAGGGGTGTGCCCAGGTGGGGTGGGGGCGGCATGCGAACCCTGCCACTGGGGCCTTCGGTGGAGCTCCCTATGGGGCCACGAAACGTCTGAGGGGTGTGCGGAAATGGGAACTAATGGCGATGGCGATGATGATGATGATGATGATGATGATGATGATGATGATGATGATGATGATGATGATGATGATGACGATGATGATGCTGGTGGTGATGACGATGATGATGTTGGTGGTGATGATGACAGGATGGTTGGGAACTAATGGCGATGGCGATGATGATGACGATGATGATGCTGGTGGTGATGATGACGAGGATGATGATGATGATGATGATGATGATGATGATGATGATGATGATGAAGATGAGATGATGATGATGATGACGATGAGTATGATGACGGCGATGGGAGGAGGGAGGAGGGGGGAGAGGAGGAGGAGGAGAGGAGAGGAGAGGAGAGGAGAGGAGACGCGGGGCGCTGTCTCTTCAAAACGAGGACCCAACACCACAGGATGGTTGGGAAAAAAGATTCGCGGTCCCGAGGCTACGACCTTTCAAACATGGGCAGAACGGGAAAAGCTGCTGATTCAAGGGCCTCATTAGATGAAAAATGTCTCGAGCGAAACGGCCGATCTCAAATCCCCACGTCGCCATGCGTCAAGGATGTCTCTGGCGGAAACTCTCACATCTACTTAAATGAGGACAGCATGGAACAGGAAGGGCCTCTTTCTTTGGAAAATGACTCGAGCAACTTCGGTCGTTTCAAAACCTATGTCAGGCAGAGAAGGGGGCGTTGTTGCTGCAAGGGCCTAGCTGTTTAAATGATCTCTCGAGCGAAACGGCCGTTCCCAAATCCTCTCCGTGCTTCGAGGATGTCTCTGGGGATAGCCACATGAATATCAGGTTGAGGAAAACATGGAGCAGGAAGAGCTTCATTTTTGTTGACGATGACTCTAGCCAAATGGCCGTTCTGACACCTATATCGGGCACAACGGAAAGCGCTGCTGCTGCAGTCGTGAGCGGGTGGTGCTGAGGAGTGCGCGCGATCCTTTTTATCACTCCTCGGGCTCCGGCCCAGCCAGCCGGCCACCAGGAGAGCCGCGCAGTGTCCCGCAAGGTTCGGAAAACTCTTATTCGAAAACGGCCGTTTGGCTGGGGACATCCTCAACAAAAACTCGCTTGGGGGGATGCCAGCCGAAGATGCCTCACGATGAAAATGATCGTTTCGCTGGATACATCCTCGGAAAATTGGGATACGGAAATCGATGGCTTCATCTTCGGATCCTCAATACTGGCAGTTTCGCTAGGGACATCCTCAAGAAAATCACATGCCACACAATCATTGCCTTCGGGAACGCCCTCGGATTACTTCCAAAATCGTTCCAAAAGCGACAATATTGAAATGTTCTTGGGTTTTGAAGCACTGCTGTTCAAAAGTAAGCATTTCGCTAGAGAGATCCCTACAAAATTGCCGTCGGGAGCGCTCTCGGATTCATTCCCAGCTGGGCCCTTCCTCCTCCCCATCCTGCTCCCTCCCTTCCCCTTCCTCCTCATCCTTCCCCTTTTCCTCGTCATCTTTTGCCTTTCCTGCTCCAACTGCTCCTGGTCCTCCTTCTCTCACGCACGTTCCCCGAATGCTATACTGACCAATTCGGGGAACGCATGGTCGGATGTCTGGGCCAAGCTCGAGCCACCGCGTTCACCCACAGCTGCGGTTCAACGAAAGCAGGGGGCGGCGGTGATTCGCCGTAGGCGTCTTCGATATCGTGAAACAGATCCTCCATCATCCCCGTGTGTCTAGGATGTCTCTGGCGAGGGCCTCATTCTCAAAGGATCCGCACGACTCGCGAACGATGCAAACATGTCCATGTTTCGAAGATGTCTCAGGGGAAACTCTTAATTGTATAGGCATGGGGGCACTACTATGGAACACGAAATTTCTCATCGTTTAGAAGACGTCTCATGGAGCGCGTTCCTTCATGTTCGGCGATGACGGGCGCCATGGGGGGGGGCGATGGGGGGGGTATGACCTAACGCCCCCCCCCTCGCCGTGTGGCTCCGGCACCGCAGCCGCGCCCGCGCGCGCGACGCGACGAGAGACGAGCGACGATGACGACGACGACGACGACGACGACGACGCGAGCCGCATGTAGGTGGCGATATGCCCCAGTGCGCCTGCGTACACCACAGCACTCGCGTGCACCACAGCGCGCGTGTACACCACAGCGCCTGCGTACACCGCAACAACCGTGTGCAACGCAGCTCCTGTGTACACCACAGGTGCTTGCGTACACCACAGCGCCAGCATGCACGTGCACACCGCGGCTACCATGTGCAACGCAGCGCCTGTGTACACCACAATACTTGCGTGCACCGCAACTCCTGTGCACGCCACAGCTCGTGTCTACACCACACTATCCGTGAACAACGCAGCGCTGGTGTACACCACAATGCCTGCGTGCATAGGACACGTAGAAGGAGCATGTACGTGAAGATGTGCTGCGGACAACTAGACGCCACGCCAGGAAAGTGCTAATAATCGACTGCAACGTTCTTCCCTCCTCCCTCCTCCTCCTCCTCCTCCTCCACCACCACCTCCTCCTCCACGCACGTGCGCATCTCAGCGCGCACCGCAGAATGGTCCATTGAATCGGTCCACTTGGTTCTCGGACGGCCAATTTAGCTGGAGCCTCCTGGACGCAAATGGAAGGAGTTGGCGTGATGCGGGCGGACTCGGGAGGACTCGTAGATTCCAGCGGCGCTCCGTTGTTCATAAGGATTGTTTAATATTGTTTTCTGTGGAATCCACAAGCGCTCCATTTTGTCAGAAAGATTGGTTCTAACATTCTATATGCAACAGTGGCGCTGTGTTGCACACGGTTGCTGTGGTGCACACAGGCGCCGTGGTGCAAACAGGCACTGCAATGCACGCAAGCATTGTGGTGTACACTGGTGCTGTGTTGCACACGGCTGATGCGGTGTACGCAAGCGGCGCGGGGTGCACAAGAGCTGTTGTGCCCGCAAGCACGGTGGCACAAACTGAGGCTGTGTTGCACGCGGCTGCTGTGGTGTACATAGGCGGTGTGGTGTATATACACAGTCGCTGTGGTGCACGCAGGCACTGTGGTGTACACAGGCGTTGTGGTGCAAATCGCCACCTACATGCTGGCGCTACCCGTCTTCTCCGTCATTCCTAAGCATTCCCAGACGCCGCTGGCGCGAAACGTGACGTCATCGACCCCCTCCCCCCCCCATGGATGATTGCCGTCATCGGCCCGGAATGAAAAACAGGCTTCAGCCGCGTCCGCGCGCACGACGACTATGAGCGACGAGCGACAAGCCACGAGCGACGACGACGACGACGACGACGACGACGACGACGACGACCCGACGACCACGACGACGACGACGACGACGACGACGACGACGACGACGACGACGACGACGAGCGCGGACCAGACTCCTATGCGGATTCCTACGCGGACACCTAAGCGGATCCCAATGCGCACGGCGGCAGTGCCCGGAGCGCACTGAGGGGGGGAGAGTTACGTCATAGGGGAGGGGGAGCAGGGGCCATGACGCTCGTCATGCGCCAAGCAATGAAGAAACAGGCTCAAGCGAAACTGTCGTTTCAAGCTTACTCATGCTTTCGACGACGCCTCAAGCGACAAGGCCGCTTCGAGACCTATTTCGGACACAACGGGAAGCGCTGGTACTGCAGTCGCTGACCCGTAGTGCTGAGGATTGCGTCCAGTCCTTCTTACGTCGCTCCTCCTCCTCCCTCTTCATCTCGCTCCCTCTCCCGCTCCTCGTTTTGCTCATCTTCCTCCTTCTCCTCCTCCTCCTCCTCCTCCTCCTCCTCCTCCTCTTCCTGGTCCGTATCGCTCGACTTCACTCCTGCTCCTCGCCCTCACTCCGTTTTTCTAGCATGTCTCAGGAGAAACCCTCGTTTCGATTAACATAGGGGGAATCATATAACACAAAATGTCTAATGTTTTGGACGATATCTCAGGCGAAACGGCGAGTTCAACAAAACTACACTGTATGGTGGCCTGATCGGCGACGGCGAGCCCGTCTCCTCCCTCAACCTCCTCCAATTGAAAATCCCAACGAGCATCGCTGAAACACTTCCCGTCATACTCTGGACGTGGTCTTCTTCGGCGACCCCAAGCCCGTCTACTCCCTCCAACTCCGCCCTCTCAACCACAAATGCACACGAGAATCGCTAGAGCGCTTCCCGTGATACACTGGATGGGAAATGACTCGGCGCCAGCGAGCCTATCTCCTCCCTCAAACTCCCTCGCTTAAGTCTTACATCTAAACGAGAATCGCTAAAGCACTTCCCGTCATCCTGTCATACAAAGCATGGGGGCCTGAACCGCGCTAAAGCGCTTCCTCATACTACAAATGCGCGCTCCTGGGACACTGCCCAAGATGGCGTAAAGACTGCCCATTCTGGCCTCAAAATGGCCCCGAATTCAAAGTTGGTACGCTTTGGCAAGCCAGAATGATGGCTCAAGATCGGAAGATCTGAATGCTACATTGCATTCGGGGGAAGGGGGTAGGTTCAAACAATATGCTTTGGCATGAGTGTCAGACGCCTGTCAGAGCCCAAAAACCTTCCCAAGAGGGCATCAGGAGACAAGAATCGTGCATACCCGTTTAGGTATGTAGGAATGCTTTGTTGTTCTCGCTGTTGGAGCTTCCGACGCACTTAGAAGAAGGCCCACGAGACGCCCGAAACTGTCCCGAGACGGTTCGCTGGCTCAACGGACCAGAGGCGCGCTAAGATCTCCAGCACCATAGTAATACTACTATAATTCGCGTTCGCAGCGGCCCCTGGGGGGCCCGGAGCGAATACCCTGGGGAAGTCCCGGCAGATCCCTGGCAGACCCTCATCAGAGGTGCCAGATCTTTTGGGCGCGGCCCTGGGAGCCTCTGGAACGATCCAGGAGCGGCCCAAGAAGCCGCCCAATAGGTGGCAGGCCCCAGCCTGAGGCCAGGATCGTTCGAAGACGCGCTAAGATGGCCTCAAGAACGCCCAAGATGCCCCCAACAAGCCCCGAGAGGCCTCAAGATGCCTCCCACAAGGGAAAATCTGCGATCCCCCGCAAGGAAACATGCATTTCTGGCAGATTCGCCGCCTCGGCCTTGACAGTGCTCAGGAGGACGGCCCAAGAGGCACCCAAGATCGCTTCAAGACGGCCAAAGAGGCCCCAAAAAGAAGACCCCTGGATGGCTCGCGAGGGCCCCAAGCCAGCCCAAACAAGCCCCCAACAGGGCCCAAGAAGGCTTCAGGACGGCCCCGATGGGGGAGCCCAGAGGGCGGACCCGAACGGATATTTTGAACCGTCGGCCCCGAGACGCCCCGGGGAGGCCCCCAAAAGCCCCCAAGAGGACCCAAGAGGCCTCCAGGGAAGCCCAGGGAGCCCCAGGAGAGCCCCCAAACGCCCCCAATATGCCCCCAGGATGCCTCCAATAGGCCCAAGACTGTGTCAAAGACCTGCCTTGGAAGCCTCCCACGATATCCCAACAGCCATCCGAGCGGGCTCAGACACAAACCAAAATGCAGCCCCAGCGATGCGAGATGGGCTGGCGGAGTGAGCGAAGAGATATGCTCACAGAAGAGCTCTCACAAGGCCCAAAAGGGTTTCAAGCCTGCCCAAGAAGCGCCCAAGACGGCTCGAGAGAGCCCCCAAGAGCCAAAAAGGGGAAGCACGAACCGACCATTCGAGCCTTCCGCTTCAAGCAACCCCCAGGAGCCCCGCAAGAGTCCCGAAAGAACATCCGTCGCTCCAAGGCGGCTCCGAACCTGCTCCGAGACGGCTGAAGAAGTGACCACCAGGGCTCTTAGACGGTCCCGCGCGCTGGTCCAGCCTACCCGTGATCGCAGCAGACTTCTGCAGCTACCTTGCGTACACGCACAGCCCAGTCCGCAATGCAGTCCCACCGTGGCTCTGACGCGGCGCTCCAACAAGCCCCATGTCACATGTGACGGCGGACCTCTACCTCCTCGTCCTCGTCCTTGTCACCATTATCCTGAGCTTCACCATCATCAGCATCACTGTCATCATTGATGCGAGAAGCTGGCTTCGATGATGCTGGACAGTCACGTTGGCGGGACTTGCCGCAGGCAACTGGATCATCGAACTTGAAATCTGGAAACTGTGTTTTCAGCTTCATATTGAATTGTTCGTGATCTTCCTCAGTTGAAAAGACGGGCATCAAGTCCATGGCTTCTCGACCTTCTGGACATGCTTCCCAGTCCCGCGCGAACTGCTTAAAGAACTTAAACGTCGTCTTGTGGGTGGGAACGATTCCTGCTATCTTCGCTGCATGCGAGCCACCAGCTCGTTGCCGCAAGGCATTGGCTTCAATCAGCGATGATGCTGCTATACTGTAAAGAATGACGGACGCGCGCATTGGATGGACTCACGCCGCAGAGGCAACCAGTCCTAGCGACGTGTGACTATAGGTAATACGGCTGGGGGCATGTGCTATACAGGGTACAAAGAGAGCTTGAGCAGAATGGTGACGGACAGGGTGTCATCGACTCTTGGATTGGCGAAGCGCGTGAAGCAGACTCGGCCCTGAGGACAGAAAAGTACCGACTCTCAACAGACGGCGGGCAGGCCCCAGATCCCCAATCCACCTCGGGTGAGCCCAGGACCGCCGCAAAGAAAATCCGACGAGGACCCGAGCGGACCACGTGGAGTAGATGGCTTCGGCAAGCCACGCCCTCCTCCCTCCTCCACATCCCTCCTCCCACCTGCTGAGAGGAGGAGGCTTGTGATTTGATCCTGGGCGCCTATCTGGACAGGACCTGGGCCACTACCCCGGAGTGCCAATGGCATAGTCATACCTGGATTACCTGATCGATCTGCTGGGAGCCGGCGCTGGATTGGACCATACTGCAAACTCGTATCTTCAGCCATTTATGCTGTATTGGGTGTTTCTGGTGTGGGATTCGGGATCCTAGGAAGAACGATGGTTTTTTACCTAACAGCTTTTGCTGATAGGCTTCTAGTGGTGTCAAAAGAGAGCATCTGGACTCCACAGGGGGGTCTGGGCGGGTGCCGAGGAGGAGAACCGGGAATCGTTTTTCGCCAACAGTCACACACTTCGTGCTCTTCGACCTCCCAGAACTCCATTCCCGGGCCACATTCTGGAGAACCGGGAACAGAGCCGGGCTCGCTTTTCGCCAACAGTCACACACTTCGTGCTCTTCGACCTCCCAGAACTCCATTCCCGGGCCACATTCTGGAGAACCGGGAACAGAGCCGGGCTCGTTTTTCGTCAACAGTCACACACTTCGTGCTCTTCGACCTCCCAGAACTCCATTCCCGGGCTACATTTTGAGTGCCCGGAGCCAACTGTAGGCCACTTCGTGCTCTTCGATCCCAGAACTCCATTCCCGGGCCACATTTTGATGCCCGGAGCCAACTGTAGGCCACTTCGTGCTCTTCGATTTCCCAGAACTCCATTCCGGGCCACATTTTGGATGCCCGGAGCCAACTGTAGGCCACTTCGTGCTCTTCAAGTTCCCAGAACTCCATTCCTGGGCATGATTTTGAATGCCCGGAGCCAACTGTAGGCCACTTCGTGTTCTTCTAGTTCCCAGAACTCCATTCCTGGGCCACATTTTGAATGCTGAGGCAGGCTGATGCTGCGGCCGAGGCAGGCTGAGGCTGAGGCAGGCTGAGGCTGAGGCCGAGGCTGAAGGCAGACTGAGGCTGAGGCTGAAGCAGGCTGAGGCTGAGGCTGAGGCAGGCTGAGGCTGAGGCTGAGCAGGCTGATGCTGAGGCAGGCTGAGGCTGAGGCTGAGGCTGATGCAGGCTGAGGCTGAGGCTGAGGCAGGCTGAGGCTGAGGCCGAGGCTGAAGGCAGACTGAGGCTGAGGCTGAAGCAGGCTGAGGCTGAGGCTGAGGCAGGCTGAGGCTGAGGCAGGCTGAGGCTGAGGCAGGCTGAGGCTGAGGCTGAGGCAGGCTGAGGCTGAGGCTGTGACTGCGACTGCCGTTGCCACTGCGACTGTCATCGCGAATGCGACTACGACTGCGAGAACAGCAGAATTCTACAACTGGATTTTCATCTGAATCTTAAGGGGAATGCTTTCAGATATGCTTCTACATATCGCTGTTAGGTTGCTTTGCCGGGATAATCAGGACTCTACTGCTCACAGTCCTCGCACTCCTCGCCCCTAGGCGTGGAGTCCTTGAGCCAAGGGTGCGGCGCGCGATGCACTCTGCTCTACTCCAGTGCTACGGCGTGCTGCTGAAGCTGCTATCCCACTTAGTGGGACTGTTAGCCTAGCATGTGCTGTCAACCGCTGCCTACTGCTACCGGGGCCCCGGGGGTATTCCGTGACACCCAGAGCGGGCGGACAAATCCTGCCCCCCCTCGAGACCACGAGGGCGGAAACCGTGACAACACAGATTCTGGATGATACGAAACTGGGGGGAACTGTATCCCTCTCTTGCTGCGGCTTCTACTGCTACTTGGACCCCAGACAGGACGGGCAAGGGGGCCAGGGAGGAGAGAGGGGAGAAGAGAAGCCCGGGAGTCCGGTGCAAACTATTGCGTCGATTCTGCTCTCTGCGCGCGCGAGCGAAACAAGGATGCTGCCACACACGCTTCACAACTACACAAATCCGCCGGCCCCCTTGTGGGGCCACCAGGGTGTAGGCTCGTGATTCGCAGTTTCCTGTACCAGTCGTAGGTTGTAGTTTCCAGTGTTACAGTTCTGCTTCTTGCTGGTTACTGTAACTAGTTGACTTTTTGCTGGTTACTGTAACTAGTTGATTGACCGCGCGAGGGGGGGGGAGGCCCAAACCGGCTTTTTAGCATCCCCTGGGCGCGTTGTCTGAATTGCTGGTGGAGCTCGAAATCGACACCCCTCACGCAGATCCGCGGGGTCAGGGTCCAAAAACACATGGGATTTGCCACATTTCTGAAAATCCGTGCCACCCCTCACGCAGATCCGCGGGGTCAGGGTCCAAAAACACAAGGGATTTGCCACATTTCTGAAATTCGGTGCCACCCCTCACGCAGATCCGCGGGGTCAGGGTCCAAAAACACACGGGATTGCCACAATTCTGAAATTCGGCGCCACCCCTCACGCAGATCCGCGGGGTCAGGGTCCAGAAACACACGGGATTTGCCACATTTCTGAAATTCGGTGCCACCCCTCACGCAGATCCGCGGGGTCAGGGTCCAAAACACACACGGGATTTGCTACATTTCTGAAATTCGGTGCCACCCCTCACGCAGATCCGCGGGGTCAGGGTCCAAAAACACAGGGGATTGCCACATTTCTGAAATTCGGTGCCACCCTCACGCAGATCCGCGGGGTCAGGGTCCAAAAACACAGGGGATTTGCTACATTTCTGAAATTCGGTGTCACCCCTCACGCAGACCCGCAGGGTCAGGGTCCAAAAACAAAGGGGATTTGCCACATTTCTGAAATCCGGTGCCACCCCTCACGCACATCCATCGCAAGGCGTGGTAACCCAAACTGCGAGTACTCCCTCGGCCCTTTAATCCCACGGTGTGGTAACCAAGCTCGTAAACCATACACGTCTTACCAATCGCCCTGTGTGGTAACCCCTCTTGTGATCAGTTGGTTTTGCCGATTGCGAATCGGCCTCGCATGAAGTTCCGATACTGCTGCACGACAGCGCCAAAGCCTCATGACTTAGCTCTTCCATGGCCCATTCTCCGAAAGAGGGGGCCGGCGGCAGGGGGCGAAGCCCTTACGGATCATATTCGTGTTCATGCTACTGCTACTGCTTGTGACCGGGGTTCTCACCAAACAGGGATGGCCACCAATCGTGCGCATGCGCGCAGTGTGCACCACTGGATTTCCTACACGACTGCTGCTACACCACTGCTGCTGTCTACTGCTGCGCGGGCATGCCGTGGCAACCTAAACGGTCGCCCTGGGGCACACATACGGCTTGGCTCTGGCATCACTCCCCTGTGACATGCATGTGCGCACGCGCAACGACATGGACATATCGTGGTACAAACTCCCCCTGCACAGTGGCGGGAGAAGCGGCGCTGGGCATTCAGTACCACTGCCGGTCACGTTTGTTCACTCGGGGCTTTCCTGCCCGTCGATTCCTTTTCGTTGAAGGAACGCCCTGGGGGGCAACGGTTCCGCATGATGCAGTACTGGTGTTGGTCGAAGCCGCTGCCGCCGAAGTCGGTGAAGTAGTTGAGCTGCCTGTCATGGCGTTGCGCAGATTCCTCAACACGTCGGCGGACGCCAGCTTGGTGAGCCCATCGGCGACCATTTCCTTAGTAGGGGCGCGTTCCATACGCAGCCTCTCCCGCTCGATCTCCTCTTTGAGGCGGGCTCCGCGAACCCCGAAGTACCTGGTGCGCCAGTCGCTTCCCTGATCGGCAATTGCCATCGCAGCTGCACTATCGACCAAAATGCTAACACACGGAATGTTCAACCCCCACTCCTCCAGGAGGAACCGGAGTCCTTCTGTCACCTGCCACGTTAAAGCGGCAGCGCCAAGCTCTGCCTCTGCAGTGCTGAAGCTGGAGACGGTCTGTCTGCTAGACCTCCACAAGATAGCAGATCCACCCCATACCAAGATCAAACCGGTCTGTGCTTTGGTGCCTGGGCCTCCGTAGCCGGCGTCGCTCCAAGCTTCGAGGTCCCAGACGTCACCCGTCTTCCCCAAGAACAGCACGCAGTGCCTGGTATGCTGTATGTACCGAAGGATCTTGTTTGAGAGTTGTTGTGACCATGAGCTGTACTTGCAAAGCGCGCTGGCTAACAAGCTGACGAAATATGCAAGATCGGGTCTCGTTCTGGTGGCTAGCCAGTTGAATTCCCCGGCGAGTTGCTGCAATCGTGTGAGGTCGGATGGTATTGGTGGGTCTTCTTTCTCCGGTAGGTGGTCCATACTGACTGTCGTGAGGCCGTGTGCGGTGGACATACCATGCTTCTCTAAGATCTTATCTATGAACTCTGTATGCCCAACCTCGATCCCATCAGGCGTCCTCTTCATGTGCATTCCGAGGAAGTTCAGCTCTTCACCGCCGTGGGCTCCGATCCCACTGGTGCCACTGCGGGTTCCGATCCCGCCAGTGCCACTGCGGGTTCCTATCCCGCCGGTGTCATTCAGCGTCTTTTCCTTGCCGGTACTCCAAATCGCTTTGATCTGGCCAAGGAGGCCTTCACGTGCCTCCCCACGCTCAGCCAGAATCATGAAATCATCGACATACACGACCGTCAACCCTAGAGTGCTCATCTCGTCGCCCTGCTGGACAAGACGCCACACTTGAGAGTCTGAGCAGCATTGAACCAGCTTGTAGGTTCTGCCCTCCGCCGCCCAAGACATTGCGCCGAGAGTCTGGTCTCGATACTTTCCCCAAGCACGGGGGGCGATTTTCAGACCGTAGGCGGCCTTGTGAAGAGTCCACAACTCCCCCGGGCGAGCAATCCCCATATCTACGAACTCCTTCGGGGGTCGCACCACTACAAGAGAGCCCTCGGGAAGAGGTGCATACATGAAAGCTCCGGTGATGTCGATGGTGCTGATGTCCCAGTTCTTCATCAAGGCGAGCTTTAAGGCACCTATCAGAGATGACACCTCCGCCTGTGCTGTCCAAAGCTTCTGCGTCGGATCATTATTTTCGAAATTGCCGCACACCACTGCTCGTGCCTTGCGCCTGCCATGAGAAATCCCATAAACAAGTTGCATTGGCAGTGGATGTGGGTACCTCCTCCGCTCCTCCTCCGTCGTTATGGTGTACGTGTTCTTCTGCTGGTAGTTTTTCACGCATTCCTCCTCGACTGCTACTCTCCATGCCTCCTGATCCTTGCCCTTTGAGCTCCTGACTTCTTTTGCCGATACCTTCCTCGTCTCTGGATCGTCCTCCCGAGCCTCCTCCTGCTGAAGCTCGTGCACCAACTCCGAAGCAACTTCCGTGTATTCTCCAGTGCTGCCCAGGAGTAGGACCATCGCCCGGCGAGCAGCTGCCTGCAGTCCTCGCTGGCCTCCCAGTTATGAGGAACCGTGCCTCCTCTTTTCTTGACCTCTCGTCGGATCCCCCTTCTGCTCTTCCTCGCTTTCCTCTGTCCTCCTGATTATTTCCTCCTTCCTTCTTCTACCTCATCTGCGCTGTGGTCCTCGGATGCTGGATCGTCCTGCCTGACTTCCAAAGGGTCTCCTCCTCGACTGTCCTCCTCGATATCCTCCTCGTTCACGTCGTTCCCCACCTCGTACTCGTTATCCTCGAAGTCTGAGCTCTCGTCCACGAGATCTGAGGCAGACGCCGCCGAAGAATCCACGTGTGTGTCTGTCTGCCACGTGCCTCCGGTGCCTCCCACGCTGGATATGTCGTGGGACACGTCAGAAAAAAACAAAGCAGCATGCGGGTGGATTTTCAACAAGTCACTGGCGCCTCCAATAGTTGCTGCCGCCAGAAGCCCAGCGCCCGCGTCTCCAGAGGATGCCGCGCCGCCCGGAATGCAATCCAGTTCCTCCAGCACCTCCTCGACTCGTCGATGCACGGGCGCCGGCTTCTCCTCAGGAGCAGGATCCTCAGCTGGGAGAGCCATAACTTCGTCCTCCTCCAAGACCCTGGCGGCCGGCATCGGGGGCCGCAGTGCGTTGCAGCACTCCCCCCAAATCTTGTTGTGCTGCGCCGTGGCGCGGCTCTTGCGCCATGTCTGCACGCAGGCTGGACAAGTAGCCCGGTCGATGGCGATGGTCGCGGTGTGAACCGGCTCCTCAATCGCTGCTGCATCGAACAGCGCGGAGTCTAAGGGGGGCAGAGGGGCGACGGGTGCCTCGTAGTCCTCCATGTGCGCCTTCACGAACCGGAGCTCCTCCTCCGAAAGGCCCATGGCTTGAACGTTGACTTTTGCTTTAACGTGGCCGCCCTGGTAGATCCAGAATGCACCTGGGATTGCATCACAAGGTCCGAACACCGTCCCAGGCAGCGACCGCGGCAGGAATGCGTTGCGAGGCTTCGGGTCGATGTTGCTCACGACGCGCGCGCGCGCCGAACGGGATCGAGGGGTATGCTTCCACACCTGCGTCTGCTCGGTACAGTTGCGCGGAGGCCAAGATAGAGACCCCCCACCACCTGGTTGGCAACCGCTGCAAGGACAGAAGATAACGCCCGCGAGCCTTTAGCAGCCCTACGGCGCTCTCCGCCGTGCCATTGGACGAAGGATCATATCCTTGAGTTGTGGTGTGAAAGATGCCATGGAATCGAAGGTATTCGTCCAACTCCTCGTTAACGAACTCCAGGACCTTGTCCGAATGCAGCCGTAGAACAAGCCTTTGCGGAAATCCGCCGTGTTCGCTCCTGACCTGAGCCAGTAGGCCCATGATTGCTTTGGATGCTTCACTTTTCTTCTCCAGGAGTGCTGCGTACAGGATGGGCTTCTGGGACGTTCCAGCTGGATCTGCCAAGTGGTCTGCATCTGTGGTGCGTTTCGCCTCGTCGGCGCCGGCTTGGGTTTTATCTTCCCCTTCAGGAGCTAACTTGGTAGACAAGACAAGGAAGTAATGGGCCGGAGCTGAGCCGATCTTGCGCCCTGGACTGGGACTTGGCTCATGAGGGCCCGAGAAGTCTACCGAGCACACTCCAATTGACTGGTTCGCGCACCGTCTGCGCTGGTGGCGTCGTTGTGCCGCCGCCTCCCAGTGGGCGTTTTTCCTATGGAATCTCTTGTGTTGCTCTGGGCCCGCGGCCAGCTCACCCAAGAAGTGTTCGTTCAAGCCCAGGGGTTCCGCGTCGATGCTCTCTCCTGCGCCGGTCGTGGACTCAGGCGCGGGAGAGGTGCCGGCCGGCGGCTCAGGCGCACGCGCCCCATCCTCCTCGACGCTCCCTCCGGCGCCGGTCGACGACTCAGGCGCTGAAGAGGTGCCGGCCTGAGGCTCAGGCACACGCATCGCGTCGTCCACGTGGGCAGCCAGATCGCCGTTGGACTGTTCTGCCGGCTGCAGCGGAACTCCAGAGGCTGCAACTACACCACCGTTGCCGGGTGGACGCCGGCGTGTCGCACCAGTCTTCTGAGAAGTGTCGATTTTGGATGGCGTCGACAGCGTCTTCTCCGAAGTATCGCCCTTGGATGGTGCTGGCGGCGTTGACGGTGACGGTGGTGATGGTGGTGTTGACGATGGCGGAGGCGACGGTGGTGATGGTGAGGATGTCACACCGAACTCCGCAGGCCGTGCCGCGGCACACCTGCCACCCTGGCGAGTTCCGATCTCGCCGGGGCCACTGCGGGCACCCATCCCGCTGGGGCGGGCACCAATCCCGCCAGAACCAATACAGGTACCGATCCCGCAGTTGGCACTAGACGTAAGGTTTCGCTCAAAGCGGGCCCCGATCCCGCAGTTGGCGCCTAGGACGGGGCTGACGCCCTGTTCTCCTAATTCCAACCGCCCCCCATCGGAAGCATCACCACCAACCTTTGTACTGCTCAGAGAATCTCGGTGGAAAAACTCAGGAATCGTTCCCGCTTGCTCTGTCCTTGCTGCTATTGCTTTGGACACAATTGGTGCTGGGTGTTCTCCGTGTCTTCCCGGTGCATCCTTCTCCGGCAGGTCCCTGAAGAGACGTCTGACGTCGTCTCCGGATAAAGATGGCAACGTCCCCCAGAGCTTCACGTGTAGTTTGCTCCCCTTCGGCGTCGTGAACGTTGGGCCTGCGTCGTCCATGCTGCAGTTGAAACCCCTCGCCCACAACCACATCAGCGGCAAGAGGTCGAGGTTGTCCTCCTGATGTCTGGCTTCTACTTTGCACATGGGGACCCCCTTTGGACCCGCGGTGGTTTAACACCTGCACGACCCCCATGCCAGTCGAAGTGCGTCTTTCCACTTCTCCGTGGTCTCGCTGCTGGGCTTGTGCACGAGGTACACGTTCGCCCAGGAATCGAAGCCAACAGAACCCTTGGGAAAGGCAGCTTCTTCGGTGCTCGCGGCTGCCACCCAGGCTCCATCAGTGATCGGCTCGTGCTGGTTGTTTCCTCTGCCTCCTTTTCCTCCTCTACCTTTCTTCCCTTTTCCTTATTTGCCTTTCTCTGTTGCTTCTGCGTTCGCCTTGTCGCGCCTGGCGCGATGCTCCTCCCAGCTCTTTTTCGCGTAGTTGGGGTCAGTGGCACCGCCGGGCGCCGCGCACTCTTTCGTGGCATGGCCAGCCTCGCCGCAAACGCAGCATCGGCCAGCATCAGTGGAAATCCCATCGTGTCGAAAGAAACACGATATTCCTCGCGCGCACTTGCCCTGTTTCCAATCCCTGTACGGGGATGCCCATTTGGACGTGGTCGTAGAATACTTCACACTTGCTGCTCCCATCTGACCTCCTCCGCCTCCTGTCTTTCCGCCTCCGCCTCCTGTCTTACCTCCTCCGCCTCCCTTTCGTCCTCCTCCTCTGTCTGCGCCCGCGGCCTGCGCTGCAGCGGCCCTCTTCTTCTCCTCCTCCTTCTTTTGGGCTGCCTGCCGTCTCTGGGCGTCCGCGAGGGGGGGGCCGGGATTGGCGCCTTTCGACCCTTTCAGGGCCAGGAACGACAGTTCCCCTTCGGCGAAGGCGGCCACCTCCACCATGGCGGCGAAGGTGATCACGTGAGGAAGATTCAGGTTGTTCTCCAGCTGCATCCACCGCAACTTCAAGTTGTCGCCCCCCTGGAGGAGCGCGTTGGCGAAGATGCTGCGCAAAGCTGCGTACAGGACGGTCACGTCTGGATAGTTCATCCGGAGCTCGTTGCAGCGTCTGGCAGCGCGCCAGAAACGCTGCAGCTCGTTCAATGCTGACTCTGGCTTGCTGCACGGAGTAGGGTCCGTGAGCTGCTTGAGGGCTGCTGACTTCTCGTCTGCAGCTCCCGGCCGGCACGTTTGCAGAATCAAGAACAATATGTCTTGCACCTCATCTTTGAGGCCCTGCATCCCTCGCTCTGTCAACTGCTTCTTCAGGTTCTGCGGCAGTGCCGCGACCAAGCGAGGTTTGATCCAGGTTTCCAGGAGTTGCCACTTCGTGGGAATCCTGGGCTGTACCCGGATGGTTTCCCTACTCATGATAGGGGCCCGGAGGTACACGGCATGGGCTTCCTGAGCCGCTTACCAACACCACCCCCACCACTGCGTCACGTGAGGCCCCCCGGCCTGCAGGGCTTGACCTACTACGTACTTCCACTTTTGAAGCTGCTCAGCTCGTTCAGCGGAACTTCCCAAAGCTATCTCCGGGAATTCTCCTACACAGGATTGAACTGTTTTCAAGATCATGTTCAGCTCCGCGGTGGACAGAGCTTGCTCTGATCCTTGCAGCTCAGAGCTCTGACGAACGACGTCGAGCTGCACTCCCCGACCGCCATCTAGCGATGGGCCGGCGCAGCCGCCAGAGGAGCCTAGGCCTGGGCGTTGGCCACCGTTTCCAGGGGGCTCTTGGGCAGCACTACCTTCAAAGTACACGAAAACGTCATCGAAGCTTCTGGGCATCACTTCGTGGAGTGAGATGCCACTGAGGTGCATCAAATGCTGCGCCTGGATCTTCGTGTTCTCGGCCTGCACTGCGCTCCCGTGCCCCGCCGCCGCCCCAGGCACGGTGCCCGTCGCCATAGGCGGAGATGTTTGCACGAGCGCGAAGCCAGGGGGGATGTCGAGACCTGTATCTTGAGCTCCCCTTACTCTCACTTCGTCTCCGGATGTGGCCTCGCGTCCCCCAGCGTGCATATGATTGCTGAGAGCTCCTTGGACCATCATCTGTGACCTTGGAAATCCATGGGAAGAAGGACCTCCAAAGCTCGGAAGACCTTGGTTCTGTCTCCCCGTCGCATCTTGGAGACTGGTTTGGCCCAAGCCCCCATTTCCGGATGCGACTCGAAACTGCTGCAACTGCTGGTGTTGCTGCTGCTCCAGGCTTCGCGTCGGCGGTGCCCCGCCGGTCCTTGATTGCTCCTGAGCAGCAAAATTGGACCGCATAGGCAACCGATCTTCTTCCCACCAACTTC